TATATTCCTCTACAGAATAAAATGTATGTTGTACCAAATATGACCCCATTACTTTTTTAAACTGTCATTTTTTCTATCTCCCTAATTTTATTTGGTATTTTATTGTATAATATTGTTAATGGAGACAGAGTGAACGGTAGGCTTCTTTTTAAAATATTTTGTGGAATCTCATCATACCCATGTGAACTCTTCAATTTTAAAGTGTGTCTTTAATTTCGCTGGTGGTTATTGGAATCATACAGGTATTTACATTAGGGAATGGATGTTGAAATACCTCAAAGAGATTGTTTAAGGTTTCCACGACCTTAGACGATGAGCTAGGTTGTGTTTGGGGTACTGGGGCAGAAAAATAGTTATTAATAGTATCAGCTATTATTTCTATGTTGTTACATAGTTTACCCGCAATATTTATATTTGGGCTGAATTTTTAACAAGTCTGGTATTGGTGACATCTTTAATGATGCCCCAAGAAGTCTTAATTTTGTTTTTAGAGTTGGAAATTAGCTTATTATAGAATGATTTTTCTGCTTCCTTTATAACCTCAGTTAACACCTTACAATATTTCTTATAGTGTCTTATTTTCTCAGGATTTTGAGTTTTCCTACTAAGCATATACAGCTCTCTTTTATGGGCAGAAGATACCTTAATTCCAGTAGTTATCCAGGGTTGCTCTTTTTGATTTAAGAAATACATTTCATGGGGGAAACTATGATTATATATTCTTATATAAGTATTAAGAAAATTATTGAACATCAACTTCACATCATCACTTATATTAAAAGCATCATTCCAAGATTCATGACTAAGACTCCTACCAAATTCCATAATTCTGCATTCATTTATTAATCTTCTAGTAATATAATAATTAGGTAGGTTCGGAAATGTTAGATTCTTCAAAATGAGAATTTGGGCATCATGATCAGATAGCCCATTAGTTGAGGTTATTAAAAAGTTTTTGTTTCTACTTGAAGATTATGGGACGTTTTGGCTGTCTCTACAATTCCTCTTGTAAATTTTTGCGAAGCCTTTTGAAATTTGAGTGTGAAATTGAGCATAAAGTTTCCTGAAAAAATAATTTCTGTGTATGTGCATCGTACTTTATACCTATAAGAACAACCTGTTGAAAATACCTGTACTCAACGACGCAATTTGGAATCCACTTTACAAATTACAACGGTAAGTCAATAAGTAAGTTACAAATCGATATAGAACTTAAGCAAATAAGAATATTGATTTGAAAAATGCTTTTATTTTCAACATAATCTCCCTGTGCATTGAGGCACTTGTCCCATCTTTTCACAAGCCCCTGAAAACCAGCAGCATAAAATTCTTTGGGCTGCTGTCAGAACCAGGTGTGTTCACATGGCATGGCCTACCTCATAATGCATGACAGGTTAGGTTTTCACAAAGTCTATGCATGATGGGTGCTGCGCATGCTGACCCCACAACTCAAAATGCAAAGAATTGGTCTGGCATTACAGCATCTCAATCACTACCACGATGAAGGACACGATATGCTATCCCGAATTGTCAAAGTTGATGAGTTGGGTTCACCATTACCAGCCCGAGACAAAGCATGCATCAATGCAGTGGAAACATCCTGCATCACCTGCCAAAATGAAAGTTTAAGGTGACACCATCCTCCATGAAAGTGATGCTCTCAGTCTTCTGGGATCACAAAGGCATACTGCTCACTGCATTCCAGCCTCAAGGACAAACTGTAAATGCCGACTCCTACTGTAACATCCTCAGGAAACTTCGTAAGGACATTCAACGGAAGAATGGAACCTGTCATGCATTATGACTTAGGCCATGCCATGTGAACACGCCTGGTTCCGACAGCAGCCAAAAGAATTTAATGCAGCTGGTTTTCAGGGACTTATGAAAAGATGGGACAAGTGCCTCAGTGTACAGGGAGATTATGTTGAGAAATAAAAGCATTTTTCAAATCAGTATTCTTATTTAAGTTCAATATCCATTTGTAACTGACTTAGTGACTTATCTACATATAAAGATTCTGAGGTCTTCACAAAAAATAAGACATTAAACTTATTGCAATGCCAGTGACTTAGGCATTTCTGCCATTCCCATTTATTGCTGCATTCTTCTGTTCATATTCATAACTACTACTAACTGCCATCTTCTGCTATTAACTCATGAATAACACATATCGCTTTTGAATACTGAACATCTAATGTGATCTTCTGTTCATTTTCATAACTAAAAACTCTCAGTGACTGCTAACAATTGACTATTCAGTTGTCCAGTAACTGAGAGTAGCTCCTTCTAATGGACCCAACCATGTAAAATGACTTCCATCGCTTCCTGCTGTGACAGAAACAGATCCAGTTTTCAGAATATTGCATTTTGTTTTAAATACTGGATGAAGGAGAAAGCCCCATAACCCTGATTATTGCATACAGTCATCAGATGCCATTAAAATTCCTGAATTTTTTTTTCTCAAGGTTATGGCTACAAAAGGTGTAGTGAGGCAGCAAGGTGAGCTAAGTTTGACACTTGCTTCTATTGCTTTTTGTTTAGCTTACTCTTTGACACAGAAGATGGAAGCAGTATATTCCCTCAAACAGTTAGTTTGAGGACTCTGTACTCTTCCTTCAGAATTCATTTAACAGTGATATGGTTACTAGTGTAGAATGATAAAATTTCTTTATAATGTGTGGTACATTGTATTGCAGGCCCCAGCTATACAGTGGATACTGCATGCTCATCCAGCTGCTCTGTGCTTGATCAGGCGTACAGAGCCATCCGTGATGGGTGTTGTGACTCAGCTATTGTGGGCGGCTGCAATCTTTTTTTCCATCCGCAGGCATCCATCCAGTTCTCACAGCTCGGTGTTTTAAATCCACAAGGTGTTTGTAAAACCTTCGACAGGNGCACCAAAGTAAGTTCTATTGAAGCTCAAACAAAGGCTCCTTTTTCTCTAATGATCCATTAGAATGTGCTAATGGATGGGGCATCTGGTGGTCTTGGGAAAGGGCATCACAGTGTTCCGAGGTCTGTCTCCAGTGAGGTCTGAGTTCAAATTTTTTTGCATAATGTATCATGATAGGATTAGTAATTTAATGGACTGTGAGGCTCTGATATGTAGTTTAGAACCTCAGTCAGGGTTGAGAGGAAAGAAAAAGAATGACAGAAGGGCAAAGGTATGAGAAGGGTTGACATTATTGCAATTTGCTGAACTTAGCAAAGGTAATTTCAGATGCCATTGAGTTTTAGGCTGGCCAGGAATTGAGATGTTCAGTCCAGCCGTAAGTCATGGCCATAAGGATTTAGGAAGGAAAGGCGTAAGTTGAAAATGTCTGATTGTCTTATTCCAAGTGTATAAGCATATTTCTTTAGATTAAATAGGAAAGTATCTTTTTACTTTTTTGATAAGTAGTAGTTATTTGTCAATTTTAAAGCTTTATGCTACACCAGTTCCTTATAGTTACTTGTTGATTTTAAAGCTTAATGCTACACCAGTTTCTCATAGTTTCTTCTGTGAGTCTTGCAGGATATGAATGCTTGAGACTGTAGACAACACAAGTCTAGGATATGATAGTGGTATATGGATATATCTGTGCTTTGCTTATTCATCACTTTTTGTTTCTCCTTTGTTTTTTATTGTAATGGATTTGATCAATGCACTGCCAAGGGCTTGTTAAACACTGTCCAACATGCAACAAAAGAGGAAGCTGTGTTTTCTGTAGATCCAAAGGATGTTCCAGTAGACTGGCTGGATAGGGTTCATGTGATATGTCTTTACTGTAAGTCCATATCCGTTCTGCAGCTGTGTAATGAGAGCTGTGAGCTGTAAGTTCAGAGTAAATTGGAACTAAGAGTACAGAAGAGTACAAGAAGTCAGCATGTGAAACTTGCACGTGTGATTTGAAACTTTATGTGTGCTGTGGTGCAGTGATATCTGCAGTGTGACAATTAGAGTTCCTGTGTTAAGAAATCCATTGCCAGGAAATGGATAGGGAAATGTTTACAGAGGAATAGTCATTGTTCAGATCTGTTACCTAGCAACGACTAGTGTAAGCAAATATAAAATACTTTATTATGTGTATAATTAGAGTAATCTTTAAAATGTTATAATTAACTAGCTGTACCTGGCCACGCATTGCTGTGGCAGATCGAGTGAATTGCTTCCACTCCGCGAGTACGACGACCTAAGTTTGATCTTCTGCGAGGCATTATTTGGATGAACTAAAGCAGATCAATTGCACTGAAAAAGAAGAAAGAAAGTTGTAACAAAAACATATAAAATTGCAAAACATTAAAAAAGGAAAGAACACGAACTGGAAAACAAAAAAGCAAAAAAAAAAATTAAAAATACTAACAAAATATTTCAATTCAAACGCAGATCAATCGACACAGCTCACTCCCACTGCCAATTGCACTGAAAAATAAGGAAAACAGTTAAGAAAACGAAATGAAAAACAATGAAAA